GACATGATCCATGATCGTTGATGTCCGGCGCTGCGTTTGTCGAAGGTTTGCAGGCCTGCAGATGACAGATGACGACATCATGCATGTTTGCTTCCTGGACAGCCAGCTCATGTGCTTCAACCCACAAACGTCAGCAACGGATAGCCACACTCTCAGTTTTGCGGAAACCGCTGTTCCGAAAAACGTGTCCACGCATTGTGAGAAACCGCAAAGCGCCAGAGGAGGCACATTCGCCAAGAGAGCAAACCGCAGAAGCAAGGCAGGCGCTGGGTTGCAACAACATCCCCACCTCCTGCAGCTCTTCGAACTCCTTCGGCCTCTGGCATCCACGAGGGTGGATCTGAGCATTGCAAGATATTGCAAGTGCTGTAGCAGGCAAGCGCAGCGCCGTCTCTGTTGACTCTGAACTTTCACTGTTGGCAGTTGCCCATCCGGTTCATGAGACGGGCGACCAAGACATTTAAAAAAAAATCAGCAGCGCAACTGGCATTCTTCTTGATAGGCCGGACCACGTTTTGAAAACGCCTCTAACTTGAAACTGCTCGAGTTACGCCTTAAGGGACTCAGGAAGCTCGCCTGTTGCAGGAAGGCTGAAAGAAGCTTTTTGAGGTCAGAGGCGACCAAGCTAAATGAGCTTGTACTCCTGATGTCGCACTCCCCCCTCGTAGGTCTTTCCAGACCCCGCTGCAAATCCATCAGAGCCAGCGATCATCCACACACCCCCATCATATTTCCCACGGGAGCCGGCGTCAGTCCACAGCTTTGCCGTGCGACCAGTAGGGGCAACCAGAGTGTCCTTCACACAGCGAAACCACGGGTCGATCTCATGCGCAGGCTTACATGTGCCCGGCGAGATGCCACGATTGTCCATGTGGACACCCATATCACTCAGAGCAACAAACCCCGGAGGGGGCACGGGTCTCCAAAGTTGCCCATCGCGACTGCCCTTCGTGCGCTCGTCAGTCCAGACGCACTCACAGTACAGCGGCTTTGCCAAGCAACCATCACTGAGTGGTGTCACGACGAGTGGCTCAGCACAAGGGGGGTGGCGGGAGTTGGTGGCAGTGTGGGAGACACGAAAGTGATTCGGGTCCAGAGGGTCTTTCGGTCGCCAGGTGGTCAAGTCTTGCCTTGCCCCTGTCCCCTGATCAGAGTACTGCGCTTCCCATCCGTGACGGTGGACCTTGATCTCGAGAGCTGGCTGCGCCGGCGCCGCCATGGCACTATGGAAGGGTTCGGGAGGTCACCTCGAAAGCTACTTCAGTTCCACTGCTACCGCTACGAGCAAGGCGCGTGACCAGAGAAGTGAAACTGGCAGCATCATGTGACTCATGTACATTGAACACGTCGAGGCCTTTTACAGCCTTACCGAGCCCTGCACCAAAGGACCGAATCCCATGCTCTGAAAGCACACTTCGAGCTCAGGCATGCCTCTGGCGATCAGGCGTCTGATGTCTGATAAGGCGGCGGCAGGCGGCGGCATGCGGCGGCTCAACCCGAAGCGGAGGAGAGGGCACTGCCTCATGCTTTTGGCTGCTGAGCATCCTCTGCATGACTCATGTACGCAGCCACACGCTATTCAGCCGCTATTCTTGGTGCCGGTGCCGGGCGAGCATGGTCGAACATGGTCGAGATCTTGCCTGCAGCCCCAGCCTGACAGTGAGAAAAGGCAACGACAGGGCCTGATGGGAGACCCGGTTGAACACCAAGCCCTTAACCCCAGAGGAACAAGTGCGTATCTGGACCACACCCTCCAAAAAAACTCGAAGGATGTCCCATGGTTCTCAGCTGGTCACCGCATGATCGCCGAAATCGTCCTTGCACTGTTGCTGGCTACACTCGCTTGTACCCGGCTTACCCCCATCGGTTCGAAGCTTTCAGCACCATTTGAAGCTGACGGCCCGCCTTTGCGGGCCGCCTCTCTCTGATGGAAGACACCAGCGTGATCACCTCACATGTCGGAGCCTGTTGCGAACGAAAGCTAGGGCCCCAAAGGTGGCAGCCGGCCAGTGTTTTTTTTTGGCAGGCAGGGCTTACTTGCAGCTGCCGCAGCCAAGGATTCGGACTTTGGGGATTTGCGAGCTGTAGGCTCAGATAGCCTGGCAGAGTTTAGGCATCGGGTTACCAGTTCTTGCAGAACTGTTGTCGCAGCATTTTGACATTTACGCGTGGAGTTTACACTTCTTGCGAAGAATCGGTTGCAGTATTTCCAAAGGTCCCCCAAAATCCGGTCGCAAACCAACACTCCTGCAAGCTCCAAGGAGCTAGCGTTCGAGAAAAGTGCCGATCCCGCCCGTCTCAATCTCATCGACATGAGGTGAGAAAAAACTCTAAATGCTTTGATTAGCATGCTCCAGAGTCTAGACAGCCTTGGTGTCTTAGCCGCTCGATTGCGAGGGCGAAGATGTCAATTTTGGAGTACCAGGAGCTGTGGCACCTAACATCCAAGCTGATCAATAGTTCAGTCAAGCTAGTGAGAGACCGTAAACCCTAAACCCTAAACATTATTTCTTGGTAGGTCACCCCAATCTTCGGCCTTGTCGACCTTTCTTGCCGCACACGCCGAAGGCAAGCTAAGGCGGCTGCAGTTGACGGAGGGATGCCGCGGCTACAACATCCACGCTTGCAGGCTGCAATCTTGGAGAGCATTGCTGCGCAGGTGGAGTTGAGGCCGTTTGGGGTTTAGGACTGCTTTGGGGCTATAGGGTGCAGCTGAAAGGGTCACAATGATGGCCATTTTCTTTAGTCCAGCTGCCACATTGGAGACTTGGGCCGTTGCAAGAGGCCGTTTGCTGGAGAGTCCACTAACAGCCTCGCCTTGGCCAGGGAAGGGCTGAAACTGATCAACTCACTTACCATGACTTGCCACATCCGAAGCACTGCAGTTCAGGCCCAAGCAGAGTCCGGACCTCGATTTGTTTGATGCAAACATGCAGGCGAAAGCAGGAGCTTGGAGCTTCTTGTCGTACGCCAGACCTCGCTGTGCTTTGCGCCTTGGGCCGGAGCTGGATGCCATGGGCATGGCATAGCTGTTCGAGGCAACCTCAGAACGAGTGACAATGTGTATGCACAACGCGGTTCTCTGTAATTCCGCACATTTCGGCACGATTGGCCGGTTCTTGCTTCGCTAGCTTGAATCAACACAAATGCAGAAGTCAGTGCTTTGGCAGTCAAAGCAGTGTTAAAGCCCGCGCCGACGTCTCGGCTGGCAGTGCTTCGCTGCTGGCATCCGCCTCAGCAAGAAGGATGCAGGTTCGAAGTTCTTTGGCAGACCCCCTGAAGGGTCAATGAGTTGGAGCTTCTTTGGTTCCCGTAGCCTCAGCATCTGGGCTCACAAGCTGGACATTTTCCCTCGTCCGTGCTCTAGTCGACGTCCCTCACGTGCTCGACAGCCTCGCCGCGCAAGGTGCATAAGTAAGATTTTCAGATTCGGGCCCCTTACAGATAATCTTCGTAATCGGATCCGTTAAGTTGTGAAGGTACCGGAAATGGAAATCAACACACAAGAGCCCTTCACCTCTAGCTTGTTGACAACATCAGAAAGCCTTTCAAAACTGAGGAGTCCTTGTTTCCTAACCCCCTGAAAGAATCCGACAGCACGAACCTCGTAAGTCAGGCGCTTGCAGCCAACTCGAACCTTTGCAGCATGAACTGCAACTGGGGTTCAGTAACCTAAAGGGTGTTGGTTGAGGATGCGGGACTACAGTAGGGCTTTCGCACTTTGGAGTTACGGGATGTTCTGGGGCCTCAGGGCTTCTGTGCATGCGCCTCTGTGTGTCTCTGTCTGTCTCTGTGTGTCTCTGTGTGTGACTGTGTGTGACTGTGTGTGACTGTGTGTGACTGTGTGTCTCTGTGTCTCTCTGTGTGTCTCTGTGTCTCTCTGTGTCTCTCTGTGTGTCTCTGTGTCTCTCTGTGTCTCTCTGTGTCTCTCTGTGTCTCTCTGTGTCTCTCTGTGTCTCTCTGTGTCTCTCTGTGTCTCTCTCTGTGTCTCTCTGTGTCTCTCTCTGTGTCTCTCTGTGTCTCTCTCTGTGTCTCTCTGTGTCTCTCTCTGTGTCTTTCTCTGTGTCTCTCTCTGTGTCTTTCTCTGTGTCTCTCTCTGTGTCTTTCTCTGTGTCTTTCTCTGTGTCTCTCTGTGTCTTTCTCTGTGTCTTTCTCTGTGTCTCTCTCTGTGTCTTTCTCTGTGTCTCTCTCTGTGTCTCTCTGTGTCTCTCTGTGTCTCTCTGTGTCTCTCTGTGTCTCTCTGTGTCTCTCTGTGTCTCTCTGTGTCTCTCTGTGTCTCTCTGTGTCTCTCTCTGTGTCTCTCTCTGTGTCTCTCTCTGTGTCTCTCTCTGTGTCTCTCCGTGTCTCTGTGTGTGTGTGTCTCTCACAGGCAGACCGCCGCAAGCCAAGGACAGGACCACTGCTTCATCACGTCACTGAGAATAGCCGGCAAAGTCTGCAATTCCTGCGGGTCGCAGAAACCATAGCAACTCACAGACCCTGGCGTGGAACGGAATACCAGCAACTCTGCAAACCATGGTCATGTGCTTGCGGGCGGCCGAGAAGCCTTTGAACCCATGCTGGCGCTTGTCACATGAATCCATACTTGTCCGAACAACATACTTGTCCGAACAACAAACACCCAGCAAGTCCCGAAGCATCGTTCACTTCCTCGAGCAGCCGTCCTTGCAAAAGGGGCTGGCCAGGCAGCGAGGCAAGGGGGGTGATTTGATGTGCAAAGGAAGCATGACTGCATGCTGTGATGCATCAGGCTGCAAGTGGCAATTGAATTCTAGCATTTTTTGTCAGCTTTGAGCATGTCGAGGTCCACACAACTTGGCTCCAAAGAGAATCCGGACAGTATGCAGCATAAAGAGGAGGTACGCGGCGCAACGATACTTCAAACCACCAGATCGCAAGGTGCGACAGCCCAAAACAGCTCCAGGCAAACGAACACCAGGCTTCTGAGATTCCGATGATTCCGAGCTGCCGCCTTGGAACTTGCTCTCTTGAGCCCAGGATCACTGCATGTCAGGATGTTCGTCATGCTGGCACCCCGTTTGGTTTGTACAGTACATGTCACCATATCTCCGATACGCTGCAGATAAGTCTTCACGTTCTTTCGTGTGAGCCGAGACAGCAGGATCTGCAGGAAGCAAGGCATCAGCTGCCAGTGACCAGGCCTTTCTCTGGTACTGAATCAGTGCCTGAACTTCTGGCCAGACTTCTCCGACAAGGGCCTTCTGCGCCTGCCTCACATGCTCCACGTGAACTCCCTGCAGGGTCCACATGTGTGTATCCTCAGCCTGCAGGGTCCACATCTGTGTATCCTCGGCAAAGATGGCACTGGCTGCCCAGATCTCTGAGACTAGGAAGCCGTCGCAAGCGTATCTGGATCGCCATTGTGCGGCTTGCCGCAAAAACTGCAGAGATCTCATCAAGCTTGCCGTGCCATCGTCCGGTCTAGCCCAAACCGCATGGGCACACATCAAACATCTAGCAAGGTGCTGGAACCGAAGTTCAAGCCTCTCAGCAGGGGGTTCTTTCCATTCATTTGTGACCAGACTGCTCGTCCAGTCCGAATCCTTCCAGCGAGTGCGGTTCGCCCAGTGGTTTTCAAGAAGCCTTCTGCATCGCAGCGATGGTGAGAGCTCGGTGAGACAGTCACGCAGAGCACGTTCATAAGGCTTGAAGCAAGTGTGCCACATTGATGTGTGTCGCAAGCCGATCCCAAAGCACAAACATCTCTGCATAAACTCGTGTCTGGCTTTCACCAATGCCTCGATGGCATCTCCCAGCTCGAAGAATGGCGTAAGGGATTTGATGGGAACACGGGACTCGTCTTGATTCTCAGCGTCTCCTTGAATCACAGCGTCTGCTTCATGTCGCAAACGCGCAGCGCGTCTGCGCCCGCTGCGCTTCTTGCAACAATTGTGGCATCTGATGCATTCGTCTGCCATTGTGCAGCCCTTCGGCTTGCTCAGAAAGAATCCGCATGGAATGGGCGGACTGCCTTCACGAAAGCAACCGCAGATTAGAGATCCTGGATTGGTCTCTTCTTTGAAAACGTTCAATGACACAACAAGAAGGATCCAAGCATCAATGGACTCATCCACTTCGTTGACTTGACAGAAAGCGAACCCAAGAGGGGTCGGTTGCAGGGACTGCAGCAGCAATGGCAACCAAGATGGAGTTGTCGCTCCATCCAAACACATCATCCTTGCTGGCAACTTGCATCCTCTCTGCTTGGCATCCACCACCAGCAGATCAAACCTGCAAACCAATGAAAGTGACTTGAGCAAACTTCGATTTGGACCCGCGTACTTGCACATGGGTAAGCAACAATCAAGACCTGTTCCATAGTTGAACTCATGTTTAGTAGCCATGCGGCCTACGTGCGGAGTATGTTGTCGACGCGTGCCTACGCGGACCTACGCGGCAAGCCTTGGAACAAAGCACAAACGCATTGCTTTGCTAGCCTTGTGCATAGCACAAAGAGGCGGAACGGCAGTGCCACCGACCCCGCCGTGCCGCCGGTGAGCGGCGTTTTTGCGCGAAAGTGGGATGGCCACGGATGCCCCCAAAATCCCCGAAAGGGCGCGCATCATGAGCATCAGCGAGACCCCCAGGCGCGCATCAGGAGCATCAGCGGCCACAGTCCGGGACCCCGGGGCGCGCATCATGAGCATCAGCGGCTCCAGCCTTGGATGACATGGCGGCCCAACGCGTGCATAAAGCTGGGTTTTGAAGCATTTTTTAACCTTTCAAGATTGGGGCTTGGGCTCAAGGCCTATATAGGGTTGAAGCGCCAAACCCGTGCGTTCCGACTACGAAAGCCTACAGCTGACCCCGTCGTGAAAAGACGCGCGCCGGGCAGGGGGGGCGCGCGCGCGCGTCCCCCCCCCCCTTCCCGTTTTGCAGCCGCATTGGCAAAGAGATCAACTCTCCTCGAGCTTCTGCCTGCGCTGCCCGCCCATGGGCGCAGCCCCTTAACATATACTATAGTATACTATATACTATAGTATGCTTTAATGTGGTATGCTTTAAATAACAGACAGAGGCCGGCTGTAAAATGGGCATTCTCAGGGCCTCCGGTTGTAAAACGGGTGTTCTCATATCGAAAATGCTGTCTCGGTTGTAAATCGAGGGTTCTGGTTTGTGAAATGGGCGTTCTAGTTGTAAAATGGGTTAATCTCCCCCCCCCCCCCGCCCCACGACCTGGAAACCTGCCCACGCGGACCCTACGCAGACCTACACGCTGCAGGCAAAATGCTACGCGGCCGATTTCCGATAATCGTGTCGCTATGTGGCCTTGCATGTAGACAAAGAAACGCTGCTCAGATGGGCAAGAGGGCTCCTGGGACGCTTACCCGGGAGGAAACGCCTCCTGATGTGTCATTCGCGGCCAAGGGCAATGTTAAGAAAGCAATCGGGCCGGAGCCACCACCATGTCCACGAAATCATAGCAGTGACTGATTCGTTTTAGTGTTCCAGAGCCCTCTCACAAGCACCACCACCTCCCCCTCCACCCCCCTCACCTCCACCCCCCTCACCCCCACCCCCCCGGCCCCACCCCCCTGGCCCTCTCAGAAGGCCTTCTGTTCGGTCGGCGAGCTGAGAGGCTCTTAAGTGAACATGTTGCGTGGCGTGTTCAATGGGAGTCCTGCCTGCCATCGGCAGATACTGGCTGGTTAGAAGCATCTTTCAGAAGAACCAGAATCTTGCCTCGAGCCTGACCTAGGCACATCGCCAGCTCGAAGGGCTCATAGGTAGTGAGAACCGTGCTTGGGCAGGCCTCCAAGCTTCCGCGATGTATGATGAGCGTGACGCACTCTGCAGGGTGCTTCTTGAGAAAATCAGTACAAGCCGCCGTGACCTGCAGAAAGCTCAGGTCGCCGAAGCACAAGGCTTTCGGAAGCGAAGGCTGACTTTGTCCTGCATGTTCAATGTTCAGCCTGTCGCCCGCATTCAAGGACACCTCGAAAGCCCTGAAGCCGTAGTTCAGTAAGGAAAGAAAAGCTTCTGTGTTGCAAGCTTTGAAGCTGGCGCCCTGAATGGCAGGTATGCTCAAATCGCAGAAGCAGCTTTCATCTGCTAGTCTCTCCATCCAGCGTGCAGGACATCGTTTTTGAACGACGCGCAAAGTGTTCTCATCCTGGCTCCTGCTCTCACACAATCTGCTGTGACCAAGTACGCTGATGGGGTTGTCATCATCGTGTCGACCTGATGCCTCCTGTGCGTACTGATCCTTGCCCGGCAAGAACCTTATCGCGTCCTCGAAGCATGTCACCCTCCGAAGGATGGTCTGCATGGTCAACGCACCGGCCGCATCAGGGAAGTCGCTGGCACCCACTTTCAGCTCTGTTTTTGCACGAGCTGGCAAGGACCTGACCTCAGCAGTGCCATCAACTCCATCCCTTGACACGTAAATCTGCAGTGGGACTTTTGTTGCGTTGACCAAGTTGACCACTTGTGGCTTCATTGCCTTGACAAGCTCAGATACGTCAAACAGCATACTCCGGAACAGATTTTGACTGTTGAACCAGCCACGCATATTGAGTACATGTTTGGATGCAGGTGAATCGTAATGAAAAGCCTCCTCCCACACGTCAGTCATCAAATCCTCTGCCGTCTCGCCGAGCTGGTCAAATGCCAGAGCAACGGCGTAACTTACGCAAAGTAGTCGGACGTCGTCGTCTTCCGGGAAATATTGCCAGTCTGGGGACACCCCGAATTTAATAAAAACACGCAGTAGGGACCTTACACAGCTCTTGACCTCTTTAATGTCGTTGTGCAGCTCGCACCACCCTCTGAACCTCGCCAGAAACAACAACCAAGAAATCGACAATGGTGCCGAGGGCTCATGTGCGCTTATTTCAGGAAATCTGGCTTCAAGGCGCGCGGAGATGTCCTGAAGATCTGTGTTCTTGCAAGCGAAGTGAAAACCATGAACCTCTTGGTTGGAGCCAACCACAGGGAACCACAGATCATGAGCATTTAGCCGCAACCACGCCTGTGCGTGGCTGTTGCTTGAAACTTCATGTATGCCTGAGCTTCTGATTGCCACCTGCCTGCCAACCACCTCGATAACGATAACTAAACTACCTATGTTGGGAACGATGATGATGATTGCGCCAGGGCTGTATTCTGCAATGCAACATTGCAGCCATTCACTGTCCAACCACAACTTCGCAGTGCTGCGGTGCATGGCTGCCTGAGTCAACTCCTTCAGCGCCTCTGTAGAAACAAAAAAATTAAGTAGCGACATTGACTGTGGAGGGCCACGGAGAACAACTTGAAACCACAGCTCATCTCCTGGAGCCAGAGTTAGAGTGCCTTCAAATGGCGTACACGCACCCTCTTCCAGGAAGTCGTAGAAGCACCTCCTATCCTGCGGTGAGCAACATTTGGCAAACGTTTTGCCAAGCATGTGCCGATCTATGGCTAGAGGCTCGGACAGAAACATCCAATCCACATAATGCAGAGAACCACTCGGGAGACTGAACCCGACAGTTGCATTTGAAGGAGCTTGAGCTGCGCCACTGCTTCCCTTAGCCGCCGACAACTCTCTATGTTTTTTGCTTGAGAGGGTGAGGGCTCCTTTTTGTGGAGGCTGCTTCGTGAGTTTTGGGAACATATCAGAATGTATTCTCATAGCCAAGTCGCAGATCCGGACAGCTTCTGAGCCTGCCGATGCCATTGCAATACCCCACTTCAAAATTTGCAAAAATGGCGTTGCAAAACTGAGGTGGAATGTGTTCTTTCAAATGCTGGGGGCAAATAACACCCTATATACTTCTGGGAGACTGTCACAGGATTGCGATTCGTTGATGGAAGCTGGCTCGTGGCCAGGCGCAGGTGCCAAGAAAACCACTGTGAATCAAGCTGGCAACCTATATTGACAGAGTTCTATCTGCCTGAATTGCTGACCCCACTTGAAGGTGTTGATGCCTGCCACTGACCTACGCTCCAAGAGCGACATCCTGCATGTTTAGCTGTTTCCTGGTCGGCCACCTGACTTTCAACAGTCAACAAGGTTCAATCACGAACGTCAGTAACGTCAGTAATAACATTTGTAACTTAAGTAGCAACAGTGCAATTATATTGAAATCCGCTGACGATCCGATAAGTGCTCGCATCAATCGTCCATCACCACGCCTTCTCCCAAGTCGGGATTTCCTTCGGGGGGATCTGGATGCCAAATGAAAGCATATGAAACCAGTATGCTGCTGCTTCATAGCAAGCCCCGTTGGCTTTTAAGGAAGACATCGTGATAAAACGAAACATAGACAAACTCCTGATGATAGCACAGCTTCCTCAATGGGCACCCACACTGCCAAGCGATGCTGCTGCAGTGCAGGTAGGTGGTGGCGAGAGTTGATGGAGGCAATCATCCCAGGCGAGCCCCGAAGCCCGTGCACACGGCCGTCGTAACGCCCTGAAGTGCCAGCGTCGGTCCAAATCACGTTCCCAAGCTCCGTGCTTTCCACGAAGGACTTGTGGACGCAGCGGAAGTGTTTATCGATATCGTCGGGCTGCTTGGTGACGCCAGGCTTGAGGCCATGATTGTTCATGTGAATCGCCACGTCACTGAGTGCCACGTAGCCCTCCGGAGCTTCAGGCCGCCACAGCGAGCCGTCCCTGAAACCTCGGGTGCCCATGTCGGTCCATATGCACACGAACCATAGCGGCTTGGCCAGGGCAGCACCGTCCACGCCCCTCACAGCGGCGGCCAGGCCGCGGGGTGGCTCGCGTGAGTTGGTGGCCACGTAGAGGATGCGCTTCTCATCGGACCCCTCCATGATCCTGGTCAGGGCCGGAAACTCGAGCCACAGAACCTCCTAGCTACCCCATGGTCCAGCACACGTTTCAGCAAGACTTGAAAACCTTTGGCACCAGTTTCTCGGACCTGGCCTGTGGCGCCAAACAGACATGTCCTGGCGGGCCCGTGTCCCGCGGTCGGAGTAGCTCTCCTCGAAGGCCCTGGACAAGCGGACACGGATGTCCATGTTCGCGCGGGCCATGGCGCAGCTGGGAAGCACTGGGAAACGACAGCCGACGACTCGAAATGCCCTCAATGATTCACCATCACTAGTGGCTTCTCAAAGCTCCAGGCAATTCCAGGCGCGGACATGAGTTTCACAGCTCTCGGTTTCACTGCATGGGGCATGGGTTGAAGCAAGGATTTCATAGCTTTCACGGTTGGCGCTGGCAGCCCCCTCTGGTGGGCCCCGCTGGCACATAGCATGGATAATCAATCACATTGCCTTGGTTAACACAAGGGCGTCATATCTCTGGGCGTCACGGACTATCACACTGCAATATTGCATGTCAAGCCGACAAGTGCAGCGCCGTCTCTCTTGACTCTGAACTTTCACTGTTGGCAGTTGCCCATCCGGTTCATGAGACGGGCGACCAAGACATTTTAAAAAAATCAGCAGCGCAACTGGCATTCTTCTTGATAGGCCGGACCACGTTTTGAAAACACCTCTAACTTGAAACTGCTCGAGTTACGCCTTAAGGGACTCAGGAAGCTCGCCTGTTGCAGGAAGGCTGAAAGAAGCTTTTTGAGGTCAGAGGCGACCAAGCTAAATGAGCTTGTACTCCTGATGTCGCACTCCGCCCTCGTAGGTCTTTCCAGACCCCGCTGCAAATCCATCAGAGTCAGCGATCATCCACACACCCCCATCATATTTCCCACGGGAGCCGGCGTCAGTCCACAGCTTTGCCGTGCGACCAGTAGGGGCAACCAGAGTGTCCTTCACACAGCGAAACCATGGGTCGATCTCATGCGCAGGCTTACGTGTGCCCGGCGAGATGCCACGATTGTCCATGTGGACACCCATATCACTCAGAGCAACATACCCCGGAGGGGGCACGGGTCTCCAAAGTTGCCCATCGCGACTGCCCTTCGTGCGCTCGTCAGTCCAGACGCACTCACAGTACAGCGGCTGTGCCAAGCAACCATCACTGAGTGGTGTCACGACGAGTGGCTCAGCACAAGGGGGGTGGCGGGAGTTGGTGGCAGTGTGGGAGACACGAAAGTGATTCGGGTCCAGAGGGTCTTTCGCTCGCCAGGTGGTCAAGTCTTGCCTTGCCCCTGTCCCCCGATCAGAGTACTGCTCTTCCCATCCGTGACGGTGAACCTTGATCTCGAGAGCTGGCTGCGCTGGCGCCGCCATGGCACTATGGAAGGGTTCGGGAGGTCACCTCGAAAGCTGCTTCAGTTCCACTGCTACCGCTACGAGCAAGGCGCGTGACCAGAGAAGTGAAACTGCCAGCATCATGTGACTCATGTACATTGAACACGTCGAGGTCCTCTGGCGATCAGGCATCTGATGTCTGATAAGGCGGCGGCATGCGGCGGCTCAACCCGAAGCTGGAGGAGAGGGCACTGCCTCATGCTTTCGGCTGCTGAGCATCCTCTGCATGATTCTTATACGCAGACACACGCTATTCAGCCGCTACTCTTGGTGCCGGGCGAGCATGGTCGAGCATGGCAGGCCCAGGCCTGGCACCGCTCGGAACGACAGCAGCTATCAGAGTATATCAGAGATCCATCTACTCCATCAAGGGACCTTCAGAACGGCCGGTGTCTTACATGGTTCAGGCTTGAAAGCGTTGATACCTGGCGCTGCGTTTGTCCAGGCCTGCAGGTGACATATGACGACATCCTGCATGTTTGCTTCCTGGACAGCCAGCTCATGTGCTTCAACCCACAAACGTCAGCAACGGATAGCCACACTCTCAGTTTTGCGGAAACCGCTGTTCCGAAAAACGTGTCCACGCATTGTCCGCAAACTGCACGCGCCAGAGGAGGCACATTCGCCAAGAGAGCAAACCGCAGAAGCACCGCAGGCGCTGGGTTGCAACAACATCCCCACCTCCTGCAGCTCTTGGAACTCCTTCGGCCTCTGGCATCCACGAGGGTGGACCTGAGCATTGCAAGATATTGCAGGTGCTGTAGCAGGCAAGTGCAGCGCCGTCTCTCTTGACTCTGAACTTTCACTGTTGGCAGTTGCCCATCCGGTTCATGAGACGGGCGACCAAGACATTTTAAAAAAATCAGCAGCGCAACTGGCATTCTTCTTGATAGGCCGGACCACGTTTTGAAAACACCTCTAACTTGAAACTGCTCGAGTTACGCCTTAAGGGACTCAGGAAGCTCGCCTGTTGCAGGAAGGCTGAAAGAAGCTTTTTGAGGTCAGAGGCGACCAAGCTAAATGAGCTTGTACTCCTGATGTCGCACTCCCCCCTCGTAGGTCTTTCCAGACCCCGCTGCAAATCCATCAGAGTCAGCGATCATCCACACACCCCCATCATATTTCCCACGGGAGCCGGCGTCAGTCCACAGCTTTGCCGTGCGACCAGTAGGGGCAACCAGAGTGTCCTTCACACAGCGAAACCATGGGTCGATCTCATGCGCAGGCTTACGTGTGCCCGGCGAGATGCCACGATTGTCCATGTGGACACCCATATCACTCAGAGCAACATACCCCGGAGGGGGCACGGGTCTCCAAAGTTGCCCATCGCGACTGCCCTTCGTGCGCTCGTCAGTCCAGACGCACTCACAGTACAGCGGCTGTGCCAAGCAACCATCACTGAGTGGTGTCACGACGAGTGGCTCAGCACAAGGGGGGTGGCGGGAGTTGGTGGCAGTGTGGGAGACACGAAAGTGATTCGGGTCCAGAGGGTCTGTCGGTCGCCAGGTGGTCAAGTCTTGCCTTGCCCCTGTCCCCCGATCAGAGTACTGCTCTTCCCATCCGTGACGGTGAACCTTGATCTCGAGAGCTGGCTGCGCCGGCGCCGCCATGGCACTATGGAAGGGTTCGGGAGGTCACCTCGAAAGCTACTTCAGTTCCACTGCTACCGCTACGAGCAAGGCGCGTGACCAGAGAAGTGAAACTGGCAGCATCATGTGACTCATGCACACACGTCGAGGCCTTTTACAGCCTTACCGAGCCCTGCACCAAAGGACCGAAGCCCATGCTCTGAAAGCACACCACACGCCTCGAGGCCAAAACCGAAGGCATCCTTCGAGTTCAGGCATTCCTCTGGCGATCAGGCATGTCTGATAAGGCGGCGGCATGCGGCGGCTCAACCCGAAGCTGGAGGAGAGGGCACTGCCTCATGCTTTTGGCTGCTGAGCATCCTCTGCATGACTCATATACGCAGACACACGCTATTCAGCCGCTATTCTTGGTCCGGGCGAGCATGGTCGAGCATGGTCGAGATCTTGCCTGCAGCCCCAGCCTGACAGTGAGAAAAGGCAACGACAGGGCCTGATGGGAGACAAGCTTGAACACCGGACCACACACTCCAAAAAAACTCGAAGGATGTCCCATGGTTCTGAGGTGGTCACAGCATGAACGCCGAAATCGTCCTTGCACTGTTGCTGGCTACACTGCTACACTCGCTTGTACCCGGCTTACCCCCATCGGTTCGAAGCTTTCAGCACCATTTGAAGCTGACGGCCCGCCTTTGCGGGCCGCCTCTCTCTGATGGGAGACACTAGCGTGATCACCTCACATGTCGGAGCCTGTTGAAGCTTCCAAGCAGCACCGGTGACCCGTGGCAATGACCTGCAGCTGTACTGCAACAACAGAGCATCTAAGTGTTCTATCCCAGGTCTCCAAGCATGAACAATACTGGGCATGACAACAGCATTCCAAGGTCCAAGACCCTCGGCTCGCAGCAATCGCTGATGGAGGCTGCCTCGTGACCACGTGCACGCGTCAAGAAGACCTATACCGCTCGGAACGACAGCAGCTATCAGAGTATGTCAGAGATCCATCTACTCCATCAGGGGACCTTCAGAACGGCCGGTGTCTTACATGGTCCCCAGGCTTGAAAGCGTTGATACCCGGCGCTGTGTTTGTCGAAGGTCTGCAGGCCTGCAGATGACATATGACGACATCCTGCATGTTTGCTTCCTGGACAGCCAGCTCGTGTGCTTCAACCCACAAACGTCAGCAACGGATAGCCACACTCTCAGTTTTGCGGAAACCGCTGTTCCGAAAAACGTGTCCACGCATTGTCCGCAAACCGCAAAGCGCCAGAGGAGGCACATTTGCCAAGAGAGCAAACCGCAGAACCACCGCAGGCGCTGGGTTGCAACAACATCCCCACCTCCTGCAGCTCTTCGAACTCCTTCGGCCTCTGGCATCCACGAGGGTGGACCTGAGCATTGCAAGATATTGCAGGTGCTGTAGCATGCGGACAAGTGCAGCGGACAAGTGCAGCGCCGTCTCTCTTGACTCTGAACTTTCACTGTTGGCAGTTGCCCATCCGGTTCATGAGACGGGCGACCAAGACATTAAAAAAAATCAGCAGCGCAACTGGCATTCTTCTTGATAGGCCGGACCACGTTTTGAAAACGCCTCTAACTTGAAACTGCTCGAGTTACGCCTTAAGGGACTCAGGAAGCTCGCCTGTTGCAGGAAGGCTGAAAGAAGCTTTTTGAGGTCAGAGGCGACCAAGCTAAATGAGCTTGTACTCCTGATGTCGCACTCCGCCCTCGTAGGTCTTTCCAGACCCCGCTGCAAATCCATCAGAGTCAGCGATCATCCACACACCCCCATCATATTTCCCACGGGAGCCGGCGTCAGTCCACAGCTTTGCCGTGCGACCAGTAGGGGCAACCAGAGTGTCCTTCACACAGCGAAACCATGGGTCGATCTCATGCGCAGGCTTACGTGTGCCCGGCGAGATGCCACGATTGTCCATGTGGACACCCATATCACTCAGAGCAACATACCCCGGAGGGGGCACGGGTCTCCAAAGTTGCCCATCGCGACTGCCCTTCGTGCGCTCGTCAGTCCAGACGCACTCACAGTACAGCGGCTTTGCCAAGCAACCATCACTGAGTGGTGTCACGACAAGTGGCTCAGCACAAGGGGGGTGGCGGGAGTTGGTGGCAGTGTGGGAGACACGAAAGTGATTCGGGTCCAGAGGGTCTTTCGCTCGCCAGGTGGTCAAGTCTTGCCTTGCCCCTGTCCCCCGATCAGAGTACTGCTCTTCCCATCCGTGACGGTGAACCTTGATCGCGAGAGCTGGCTGCGCCGGCGCCGCCATGGCACTATGGAAGGGTTCGGGAGGTCACCTCGAAAGCTACTTCAGTTCCACTGCTACCGCTACGAGCAAGGCGCGTGACCAGAGAAGTGAAACTGCCAGCATCATGTGACTCATGGCCTTACCGAGCCCTGCACCAAAGGACCGAAGCCCATGCTCTGAAAGCACACCACACGCCTCGAGGCCAAAACCGAAGGCATCCTTCGAATTCAGGCATTCCTCTGGCGATCAGGCATGTCTGATAAGGCGGCGGCATGCGGCGGCTCAACCCGAAGCTGGAGGAGAGGGCACTGCCTCATGCTTTCGGCTGCTGAGCATCCTCTGCATGACTCATATACGCAGACACACGCTGTTCAGCCGCTACTCTTCATGGTCGGGCATGGCAGGCCGTTGATGTCCGGCGCTGCGTTTGTCGAAGGTTTGCAGGCCTGCAGATGACATATGACGACATCCTGCATGTTTGCTTCCTGGACAGCCAGCTCATGTGCTTCAACCCACAAACGTCAGCAACGGATAGCCACACTCTCAGTTTTGCGGAAACCGCTGTTCCGAAAAACGTGTCCACGCATTGTCCGCAAACTGCACGCGCCAGAGGAGGAACATTCGCCAAGAGAGCAAACTGCAGAACCACCGCAGGCGCTGGGTTGCAACAACATCCCCACCTCCTGCAGCTCTTCGAACTCCTTCGGCCTCTGGCATCCACGAGGGTGGCTCTGAGCATTGCAAGATATTGCAAGTGCCGCAGCATGCGGACAAGTGCAGCGGACAAGTGCAGCGCCGTCTCTCTTGACTCTGAACTTTCACTGTTGGCAGTTGCCCATCCGGTTCATCAGACAGGAGATCAAGACATTAAAAAAAATCAGCAGCGCAACTGGCATTCTTCTTGATAGGCTGGACCACGTTTTGAAGATGCCTCTAATTGCTTGAGTTCCGCAACACCGCACAACGAGATACTGTGTCACATCGTATGAAAAATACCAAAGCTGACTGAAATGCGTTTTTCTGTTCGAGGAAGCTTGCCTGTGGCAGGAGGCTGAAAGAAACTTCTTCATGGCCCCCAAACGCAGGTTTTTTCAGATCCCACTGACCCACTGCAAATCCAATTGGAGCCAGCAATACTCGGCACGTGAAAAGAATGGGCAGAAGCTGCTTGGAGCACAAGCGTCTGTACCGGCTCCACACCCAAACGCCACGATTTCACGCCGATTGTCGATCAATTGACAGAGTCTTTGGCAAGAACATACGACACGACCCCCCAGACTACACAGAAGGGTGCTGCTACTGGCATGGAAATGCGGCCATGGGTCTCACCGCCTTGGAAAGACATGCCTCCTCTCTAACGTCTCTCTTGGAACGACATACCTGTTAGGCGGAGCTGCATGGCCGGTCTGTACAGGTTGGGCGGCAACATGCGCATGCCTCACGAAGGTCTCCTCCGCTGGTAGACTTCTTGGAATCACCAGCCTCTTCTCCCACATATCAGCAGGGGTGATGAGACGCCGACTTTGTTGAAGCTGTACAGGTTGGGCGGCAACATGCGCATGCCTCACGAAGGTCTCCTCCGCTGGTAGACTTCTTGGAATTACCAGTCTCTTCTCCGACATATCAGCAGGGGTGATGAGACGCCGCCTTTGTTGAAGCTCTCCATGAAGAAGAGACATGTGTACACATCTGAAGGAGCGGTCGATCTCGCGAGAGTTCCTGCATGTCCCAACAATGCAGTCCCTGATGGAGGAACAGAGTCCTGACAGAGCAACAAAATCGGGCGGTGGCACAGCTTCCCACATTGAGCCATGCGCAGTGCAGAAAACGCAGACACAATACAATGGCACTGCTAAGATGTGATCTGTGTTCTGACATGGTGTGACTACCCAGGGTGGCTCGGAAGGAGGATGGCCACCACTTGTGTGCTGATAGCGAATGCGGTACTGTTGGGGAGTCAGCCCGCACGGACGCCACACAGAGGCGTGTGGGTCGGAGTAGACTTGCTCCCAGCACATGGTCTGCGTGAAGTAGAGCGGCAAACCCTCTGCTTCAGCAGTCAAGCTTGCTATGTCGCACAACGACAGTGGTGACACTCGTGTGGAGGCTGAAGTTGCCGAGGGAGGCGGCCAAGAAGAAGCCAAGTTCTGCTTGGCACCTCTCCCTCCATGGCTGGCAACAAACTCCGGTGTCACACCACAAGCACCATATGTTTTGGGCACAGCTAGCTTTGCCCGCTGTTGCCACGTGGTTTCTGGTGCGTGTGTCCTGCATCCCTTGGCTGAACGGGAAGCTGCGAACACGGCTACGTTGACAGCCCAAGTTGCCGATGCACGTTCCCTTTCTTCCTTAGTAAGCTGTGGGGTTTGAGCATCACCGCGGTTGTAGGCTATGCGCTTCTCGACAGCCTCACCCGCAGAGGGGATCATCCCATCCCAGCTTGCAGCGCCTGAAGCCGCCCCATCACCATATGCTTGACCAAAGTCATCCCAATCGATGCCTCGATTCTGACTTGCCGCCAACTTCACTTTCTGGTCAGCTTTTGCGGCAGCTCTGCTCAGGCCGCCTGACAAGGGAGTCGGAAGACCTTTGCACGCAGCTTGCGCTGAAATAGCCAGGCATTGGGAAAGGGAGCAAACGCCGTTGGCCGCCCAAAACTGTCCAGCCCTTTCTGCCTTCGCTTTGAAACGACCGTCTTGGGTGAAGACACAGGCCGTGACATTGATGACTGTTGTTGCCTGGCTACCTATGAGGCTGTCGTGCTCCCATTGCCTAAATCTCGCCGCGAATTGATCAACTCTGCCCTGTGCCAAATCTGGGACGCCTCTGGTGAATCTACTCCATTCATCCAGGAGAGGCAGATTGAAACTGACACCTGGAGGAGTACCTGGCAACCTGTTGCGCACATGATGCAAGCACCTCTCCGCAAATTGGTCAATATTGCCCTGCACCAAATCCGGGATACCTTTAGTGAATATTTTCACTGAGTCCTGGACAGTTCCAGTCACATTCCCCATGCTTATCAAAGCGGGGATGCCTTTGGTAGGTCACCCGGCACAGGCAAGTTGAAACCTATCAAAACTGCGGATCTTTCTCCGCCGAGTGTCTGAAAGCTTCCAGAACAGCTGCAGCAAGAAATAGCACCCTATCTAAACGTTCAGTCTGAACACTCAACTCTCAGAGCGGCTTCTCCGAAGTCTCGCAAGATCCAGCAACCATGCTGGGCCCAAGGCTCTGCCACCCAAAAGCGCACGCAGGCCGGGCTGCACATAAATGCCGAACTGGCCGATTGTCTGCGGCAGGATGTCTGCAGGGGGTGACTGACTGTGCTGTATTTGAAGGTCTATTCATGTCACCCTGGCCACAACGTTTGCCACGGCTCGAATTCTATCATTTCAACACGCAACCAGTTCCCCTGGAGAACCCAACTAACCCGGGCCCCGAAGATGGAATTTCCTGGGGCGCTTGATCCCTACAATCTGCGAATAACACAGCGTCAACCCCCTTGGAAATCGGCTGCCTCCCACGCCGAGAACCCCACGACCCCAAAGATACTCATTACCTTCTAGGCCTTTTCGAATCGGGGCTTCTAGGGGCTTCAGGTTTAGGGCCGGGGGGTCTTTAGGGTTACCCACCCAACCAGTCCATCCTTGTGGCGGGGCTCAGCCAGGATGTCAACTTCTCTGACGGTGCCCTGCACCGCCTGGCCCTCCTGCCACTAGGAATCTTGAGGTTTTGTGAGTTTCGTGTCTTGGGCTTGGGAGAGGAGTTTGAGGCTTCGAGGCTTCGAGGCTTTGCAGAGGGAGCGCGAGCCCCCAGAACGTGCTCAGCTCGGCATGAAGTCTCTAGGACCCATGTAAGCAGGTATGACGGTATGACTTTGCGCACCCGCACACCATTGCGCGCACACACACAGCCCACGCGCACCTCGACCGGGGCTGTCATGTCCCCGTGCCCGGCAGCATCCGAGAGTTTCAAGTTTCAAACTGGGCACCGTCAGAACGTAATCAAAAAAGTCTTCGCGCTTCGCACTCCGCCTCCGACGCGCCCTCCACCTTCATCGACATCTCGCTGAGGTTCCTGGCGCTCGCACATTGACAAGTCCAGCCGAGCACTCGGGGAGCACGCCCTCCTCAGGTAGAATGGTAGAAGAGCCGCTGCTCCGGGCCCTCGAGGATCTCGTCCACCTGCAGATACTCAGAGCGTCTCTTTCTTGATCTTTCTTGCTACGCCTGGACTCTTTTCCCCTCCTGCTTCCCGCAATCACAGGGCTGGACAGCGTCCTGGGCTACTGATGGATCTTGGGAGCAGCGAACACCCGGTATGAGAGGTTGCCATCACACGGGATCCCACACTACAAGTAACCTTGAAAAGGCCTCAGGCTCAAGCATCTTCGGGCAGCACTGCAAAACAAGCCTGGGATGCCACGCCCAGGCTCCTGCAAAGACTCAAACTCCAGCTTAACAATGATGCTCCGCGTTCTCAAGTCTGGTATGTCGAGCGCCAACAACATGCTAAGCTGCTAATCTTGAAACCCAGATTCGGGCCAAGGCAAAACACGCAAATCTTGAAACCCAGACACGGGCCAAGTTTTTGTCGAGACACAAAACATGCCCACCTTGAAGCCCAGAGTCGGGCGAAGGCTTTGTAGTTTGGTTTGACATGCTGCAAGCACAACTCAAGCGCAACTCACGCACACTAGCCGCCTGGAAAAGTCTCAAGAAAACGAAAGGATGTCAAAGTTGTGTGGTCACCAGCTATGGACACTGCCATCCAAGTGCACCGCTGCAGACACGTATTCGAAAATGCCATGGACCCTTAGCTTAGAATCAGTGCTTCCACGCACACACCCCTGATTAGGGGGATTTGTGACGGCATCCTGGCATGATAAAATAGTGAAGATTGTGTGCAGCAAGCTTGGTAAACAGGCTCGCGCAGAGGACCTCGCGCAGCAGGACAACCCCAGCCCGGGGAAACACAGCGCCTGTGGCCCCTCGTGGGTGTGCAGGCCGTAGAGCCGCAAGCAACCACTTTGCACTTTGCACTTTGCACAGACACACACACACACACACACACACACACACACACACACACACACACACACACACACACACACACACACACACACACACACACACACACACACACACACACACACACACACACACACACACACACACACTTTGCACACTCCACGTGTGGATTTTGGACTTTGATCTTTGCAGATTGTTCTTTTGTTTGATTTGACAAGCCCAGGGATTTCACTGTTTCTGTTTTGTAGTTCTATTTTGACTTACGCTGGCCCTCACTTATTCTAGCTTGGTTGGTTGGTTGGTAGGCCGGTTCGCAGCAGTAGCTGCAACCATTTTTACAACCGCTTCCCTGTCCGTATCTCAGGGACGCTCCGCAAACGTCCTTGCCTCCCTCCACGAACAGTTCTAGCGGAGGATTACCAGATTCTTGCAGCCAAGACACGCGCGAGGTGTGAAAGGCGAGGGGGAAGCAGGGGAGGGGGAGGGGGGGGGGGGAGGGGGGGAGGGGGGGAGGGAACGAGCGGGGGGGAGGGGAGGGCGGGGAAAGGGTGCAACCCAACCCCCCCAACGAGGGGCCTCGAAGGTGGGGTTGGGCCGGGGCTTGGGCTGGGGGAGACACTTGCACTCTCGCGCAGCGGCAGATTGTTCTCAGCGCTGTGGTACGAGTGCCAGACGCGGGTCGGTGAAAGTAGCGCGGCCCTCGGAACACAAAGCACGGGACGCTTTGTGCAGCACCTCGACGCACCAGTGAGGGCTGGCCTCTGGATGCTCAGACTGCAGTTGAGACACGAGGCTCTGCAGGGTGTGCTGGCCCTGGAGTAGGCGCTTCAGGAGCCACTTGCGTGCTGCGCGCAGGCGCAAGGTAGTGGGACACCTTTGCTGAGAACCGGCGCCTTCCTGGCATTGCTGCACAGAGGAAGCCACGTGCGTTTGGAGGTCGCTGGTGAGGGGGACTACGCGTTGCCTCCACCTGGGGTTCTCCACAATTTGCCGGGACCAATGCCACCAGCAGTCAGGGCAGAGCTGGGGCAGGTCAGCTGACGGCTGACACGCACGGTGCATACCATGGTTCCAACGACAGACACCTCTGACGTGCACCACAACTCCGCACGATGCGCAGGAGGACCCCTGACAAGACCCGCACCATGGGCATGGCCGGTTAAGTGGAGCTGTGCTGGGCAGGTCCGCACCGCCACAGCCCCAGCACGAGATGATAGTGGCTTGGCGTCCGCCGGAAGCACACAGGCAGGGACGGCCCAGGCATGAAGGGGAATCTTCGCCCCAATTGGGCGCCCCCGACACGAGAAAAGCTGCTCCTGCCGCTGTTAAGGCAGATAAAGCTGCGTCGCTGGGCACGGGGGAAGCTGAAGCGGAGACGGGCGAGCGCCAAGCTCACGAGTAAATAGTGCCCCGGGAGGCGTGTCAAGCCACAGGAACAGACGAGAAGCCGGGGGGCTATGGGCCGGCACCGGTGGCACAAGCTCCAGGGAGGGGAGCGCGAGCCTGGCGAGACGTAACCAGGCGTCGATTCGGCGCTGGTAGGCTGAGCGGATGAAACGGACGCCTAGCAAGAGGGCTTGGTTGAAACGGATTGCGCCCATGAAACGGGAGGGCCCTCGTGAGGAGCGGGCCAAGCAGGCCTCCAGTAGAGAAGGGCGAGCAAGGGTGGCCTCGGAGAGGTCATCCTCCGGCTCCTCCAGAAGTGGGGAGGAAGCCAGTTTGCAAAGAGCGGCGCCAGGGGCGCGAGGGAGCACACCGCGGTAAGCGAGGTCAGAGCCGCGCTCGCGACGAGTGGAAGCAGCACTACTGCCATCCACATCTGCCGAGAGAAGTTCTTCTCGAACTGGGAGCGGGATGAGCCACCTCCAGGCAGACAAAAGGGGCCAGCGAGTTTGCTGTCTTAGGGAAGGGGTGTTGGGTGCTCGGGCGAGGGGTAGGGAACGCCTCCAGGTTTCTGCCGCCGCAGCAAGGATGGGGCCACTTTCTCGCCGAGTGAGCTCGCACTCAAGCGCATCACGGAGGAGGTCCACTAGGGGTGCCACGGCCGCGCATGACATGAGGACGCGCCGAGGGGTACCTGGACCACCGGAACAGAGTGGGCACTTGCGGTGAGAGGACCACCCGGCACTGTATGAGGCAAGACGATCATGGACCAAACCAAGCTGCTGTGCAAAGTATTCCGGCAGTGGGACTGCAGGGGAGCCTAAGATACCGTCCATCCCTGAAGGGGCCGTGGGATGGGTGGACCAAAAACGACGGAGGCGAGCCAATTCCGATTCAACCCAACGAAACGACTCCGAGCGAGCCTCTGCTCTTTCACTCGCGAGAGGTTGGAGATCTTGGGATGGGCGGGTAACAAGCTTGCGCCAGGGAGGGGGTTGCTGGGCGGAATCTGGCATCTCGGGAAGAAAGACATCCAGATCGGCGACCACCGGCTCATGGTCCGAACGCCTGTCCCACTGCCACAGGACGGAACAGTAGAGAATGGAGAGGCGCACGCTTTGAGAGGGAAGCCACCACACAGCATCCAAACGGCTCGCCGAGCCCGCTGCAGAGAAGTAGGAAAAGGCGCGGAGAAGGGGATGGCGGGAGCGGAATGCATCAAACAAGCCGCTACTCTGCAGATGGGCTGCTACTGAAGCCGGCCGACAAGCGTAGGACCCACACCAGCTGTCAAGGTCTTTATTGCAGAAGGAGTTGAGGTCAGGAAGTGAAGCCTGGGAGGCAGGCGCCCGTGGGTCCATAGAGCCCGACTACGCGGATGTGATGAAGCCCTTGGGAGCTGCAAAGAGTGGCTGCGAGGGCGCGGCCGGCTGAATCCCTCGCGATGTCTGTCCACGACCGGAGTAAGAGGACTTGACTGCCAACGCAACTCCAACGTGCGAGAGGGCGCTGCCTGAGTGAGGGGCCCCATGGCTGATGGCATGGAAGCCGGCAGAACGTAGCCCCTTGCACGGTTGGACATGTTGCGCGTCAGAGCAAAGGGCAGCCTCCGACAAAATGCCAATGTCTGCACCGAGATTCAGTAGGCCCTGTCCTTGCCAGAGCCGCCACTGGAAGCGGTCTCTACCACCACTACCACATTGAATGCAGGCGAGACGGGTGACGTGAGAGCCCGCCAGGAGACGTCATCTCCAACACACTGAGCAGCAAAGTGTGGGAGGGAGAGGTGCTGGCCGACCTGCACCGAGGTTCTCTGGGAAGGCGCAGCGCTTCTGATGAGGATGACCCGGAGAGGCACAAGTCATCCAAGAGGTCCATGGCCGCCGCAAGGCGAAGGAGAACGGGCTTGAACCGACAGCCACAGGAACACAGGCCCACAAGACTGCCAGGAAGCGGGGGGGAAGAAGACGGGAAGAGAAAAAGAAAAAACGATAATAAAAAAAAGACAACGAGGGAGAGAGCGCGAGCCAGAGCCAGAGACAGAAAGAGAGAAAGAGAAACAGAAAAAAAAAACCAAAAAAAAAAGGAGAGAAAAAAACAGAGAGACACATAGAGAGAGAGAGAAAGAGAGAAAGAGAGAAAGAGAGAAAGAGAGAAAGAGAGAAAGAGAGAAAGAGAGAAAGAGAGAAAGAGAGAAAGAGAGAAAGAGAGAAAGAGAGAAAGAGAGAAAGAGAGAAAGAGAGAAAGAGAGAAATAGAGAAAGAGAGAAAGAGAGAAAGAGAGAAAGAGAGAAAGAGAGAAAGAGAGAAAGAGAGAAAGAGAGAAAGAGAGAAAAGAGAAAGAGAGAAAGAGAAAACGAGAGCAAGAGAGCAAGAGAGCAAGAGAGAAAGAGAGAGAGAGAGAGAGAGAGAGAAAGAAAGAGAGAAAGAAAGAGAAAAAGAGAAAGAGAGAAAGAGAGAAAGAGAGAAAGAGAGAAAGAGAGAAGAGAGAAGAGAGAAAGAGAGAAAGAGAGAAAGAGAGAAAGAGAGAAAGAGAGAAAGAGAGGAAGAGAGAAGAGAGAAAGAGAGAAAGAGAGAAAGAGAGAAAGAGAGAAAGAGAGAAAGAGAGAAAGAGAGAAAGAGAGAAAGAGAGAAAGAGAGAAAGAGAGAAAGAGAGAAAGAGAGAAAGAGAGAAAGAGAGAAAGAGAGAATGAGAGAAAGAAAGAAAGAAAGAGAAAGAGAGACAGAGAGAAAGAAAGAAAGAGAGAAAGACAGAAAGAGAGAAAGATAGAAAGAGAGAAAGAGAGAAAGAGGGAAAGAGGGAAAGAGGGAAAGAGGGAAAGAGGGAAAGAGGGAAAAAG